CCCAGCCACTCAACCAGGCCCAGCCAAGTTGACACACAAACTGAACTACCACACAAATGTAAGAAGAATAACCAGAAGTAATGATATTCTAGAACCTATTAGAGGTGTATTGAAATCTGGAATTAGTATTCATAAAATGAATATGTTCCAGAGTCATGCATGACATTTGATAAACAGTTAATTACATCAAGAGTGTGTTGCTCATTCAGGTATATGTGCCTTCAAACTAGGAAAATATAGAATAAAAAATTGGGATTTGTTAATGGTTCAGTTTTTAGTAAAATGTGTCATGAAGTTACTTTTTTCACTACCCCTTATCTCAGTTAGAAAATTATTTGTAAAGTTAGTGGTTAATAATAAAAATAAATTAAATAAAAGTGTCTATGGAGCCCAGATGGTAAATGGTGAAATCTGTTTTTCATGTATACTTAGGGTTGAATAAAAAAACTCAAAGAGAAAATAGGTACAGAAAATTTACAGTATGATTCTATTTGCTTTTAAGAAAACCACAAGCCAATATGATGAATATGAAACTGTAAATGCGGAGAAATTTGGGAAGGATAGAAACCATTCTGATCACAGTGGTCAGCTCTTGGGGAGGAGACAGAGTAGAGCAGTGCTCAAGAGAACTTTGATAAATGGATAAAACTACAGATAAAATCAGAGAACTATAAAAGCTTTAAAAAGGGAGAGGCCAGCAAGACAAAAAAATTAATTTTTTGTATCAAAAAAAGTGAAATATTCCAAAGACCACAGAGATATTTCAGTTAAACAGAATATAAAAATATTAGGTCATTTTGTTTCCAAGTTCAATAAATTGTATAATTTATATTAATGTAATAATAAAATTTAGAAGTAATTTTATGTGATTTCCTTTCTTATATTGATTATTGAAAGTAATGAAAGTACCTATAATGTGAACTGTAATCCTTACTAATGAAAAGATTGGTGTGAGCCCAGAGGATAATAGAAAAATAAGCATAAAAAGGATCTGGAGCTATAGTGAGATTCTGCTAAAGTAAATGCTTTGTGTACTGTTACAATTATTTCCCAAATCTTACTTTATAGTTAAAATACAACTTTTATACTCAGAGCTTTATCCTTGACATATGTTCTAAGAAGTCTGTGTTTTGTTGTCTGTCTCACAGTCTGGCTACAAAATTTTTTCATGGTTTCTTAGAAAAAAATTTAAAAACTATTTTTATAATTAGTAAATTGAAACATAACTTCTGTTTTCAGACCAACGCTACAAGAAGGAAGGAAAATTATAATAAAAAATGGCCGGCACCCTGTGATTGATTTGTTATTGGGAGAACAGTATGTTCCGAACAGTACTCATCTATCAGTAAGTACCACATTATGCCAAAAATATGCATAAAAGATAATCATGTTGATCCCAAACATTTAAATACCAAATTAATGCTTTTATTGTTTACCTAGGTTTTAACTTTGGCTTTCAATGGACTAACCCTGGGTTGTCCTTTCATATTTACCAACTATGTAATGGAGCTTTTTCTAATGAAAGATTTTCCATAGATAGAAAAGTTTACAAATAAACAGTTTGTCTTGATGAGTTATCCTTAGTATAGTCTCAGTTAGTTATCCTTGGCCCAGTGTAAGTATTTTTATTTATACATGCATAATATGCTGATGGGGTTAGAATCATACCATGGTTTTGCAAATTCTTATTAACATACAGTATTAAATGCTTTGCCCTGTGTTTTACTATTTTTAAATATCCTGTGAAAGAATCAGAGTAACCTCAGCTGATTTCAGTGATGAGAACTTTTCTCATGTGGACTAGAGCTCTTCTAGCTAATGTTAATGTATAGCTTGCATATTCATTCAGCCTATACTTACTACAGTGAGTGAGTGATACTTACTGAGTGCCTATTAAGCCCCAGTTAGCAGAGCAACAGATAGTGGTAAGAAAGACATACTGCTCTCAAAGAACTTGTGGTCTAGCTAAGAAGATAGATACGCAGTTACAATACAGTTTGGTAAGTGTAGTGCTATAGGTCATCAAGGAGTCATTGGAGCATGTAACACGTTGATCTAACCCAGTGTAGGGACAGCATCAAGGACAGTTTTCCAGGAATGTGGTATCAACCAAGAAATGGCTAGGCTCAAGCCAGGGGAATGGAGCAGAGTATTCCAGGTAGAGGAAGCAGCATAGCAGAAGCTTGACATTGCTACAGAGTATCAACAAAGAACTGAAAGATGTTGAGTAGGGTGAAGCATGGCAAGACCAGTTCACTTATATGGTATATTAAGAAATTTAGCCTTTATCCTATAGGATTGAGAATTCTAGCAAGAGAGTGATTTAAGCTGGGAAAGACAGCTAGATATAGGGAGTGTTGCATAGATAGATTAAAATAATATGTGACTTCAAGATCAAAGAACTAATATGTAGGAAGTAAGTATGTATCAGAGAATGAGATGCCTGAATTTAAGATTTCAGAAATGGGGCTATTCTAGGTGATGGCAAGATTGTGGGTATTAGAAATGGAGAAGGTCTTTTGGAGATGAGAAGGAACAGAGTGTTGGAAAGAGTTGCTGTGTGAATGTTGAAATCATCTAAGGTAATAGCAGGATTTGTAGTGGAAATGATGATAGTGGTCCAGGTGTCAGAGATTCCAAAGAGTGGGGGGGTCTGTAGATGCCTGCAGTGAGGGCAAGTAAGAGGTAGTATTTGAAACACCACCTAAAGAACAGGTGAGAGAACCTCTGAACCAGGGGGTCTGTGGGGTAGGGTGTGACAGAGAGCCCAGCCTCCAGATGACAGGGTTCAGGGGAAGTAGCTCACAGTCAGGTTTGGGTGTAAGCCAGTGTGTGAAGGAAATGTCAAGCATGAATGTTAGGAAGAAAGAAGCTTGGGAGAATTTTTCTGAGGATAGTGAAAAAGATTGAGATGTAGAGGAGCAGTTGGAGATAAGGTCAGAGAAAGGAAGCCCAGAATAACAAGAGAGGTGGGAATATAAGAGCATTCCATTGGAGCCAAGAGTAAGGATGATAGTGATGTGTGACATGGTGAATTTGGCTGGTCCCAGTGGTGGTAAGTGAAAGTAAGTATTTTGGATTACCTCTTGTTTAGTATTACATGTCAAAAGAAGTCATATACTTGATGATATATAACCTGATATCCAATGTCTATAAACTTAAAATTCTTATTAAGAAATTTATGTCACTTAATAGAGCAAAACCAAACCAAATCAAACTCACTGTCATCAAGTCGATTCTTAACCATACCAACCCCCATTGAGTTTCCAAAGCTGTAAATCTTTACTGAAGTAGATTGCCCCATCTTTCTTCCACAGAGGAGCTGGTGGGTTTGAACCGTGACCTGGTTAGCAGCCAAATGCCTTATCCACTATGCCACCAGAGCTCCTTTAATATAACAAAGTAGTTAATAAGTACTAATACTTTTATTGTCTTTAAAAAGAGTACTATGTGGACATAAGAATTTCTTTTTTGGGGTTTCAATACTACCAATAGGCTGTGCCCTTTCTTGAGAAAGTAATATAATTGGAACGTTTAGTAGCTTAGTTTATACTTTTCTTGTAATCACTTAAACATCATTTCCTGTTACTGTCCCTATCCCCAGAATGCCTATCAATTTGATGCTAAACATGTTATTCTTGGCATTAATTTTTTTTAATTCTTCTCCTTCTTATCTTATTAAATCTGCTATACTGTTTCAAGCAAGCTTTGAGAAATTAAAATAGCTTTCTACTAATTACAAGAATGTTTTAAAGAAACAGTGAACTCTTATATTTGAGTTTTTATGAAGTAAATGAGTGATTTATTACAGCAGGCACCTTAGAATATTCCAGAATATTCATTTATTTTACATATGCTTTTTCTAACTTGAGTAGGAGTTGCTATAGAACTGTTGCTATGGTGAAGTGCATTCTATTTTGCAGGGTATAAATTTATATATGGGGATAATGCTGAGACAAAGCTTACTATGTCAAACTCAATTATAAAATATACCCTGAAAATAATTTCCTCAAAGTCAGTGGCATTGCTGCTTTTGATAATCATGTAATTTTAAGAAAGGTCTTTTGTACATGTAATTATGGGTGTAGTTTTCCGGATTCTATACTGTATGAACTTGTTAGAGTGCTTCTGGGAAAGCTTTCTGCCCTTTTTTCCTCTCCCAGTTTTAAGAGTATTCTTTTAAACTCTCTTTTTTTTATTCCCTTCCCTGATTCACACAAAATTTAGAATATATGCAGATTTGACAATCACTGGGTCTTTCTACCTCCATCTTGGCCATCTCCAATTCCATCTCCACTGTCCCGCCACAGGGCATTTTCTGAAGTGCAAATCTAACCTGTCCTCACTGGAATCCTCGTTATGATCTCTTCCCCTAATACAGAAAAGATGCCTTAGGTGCTCTAGTCCCTAACCTTGTGCTTGGCACAGAGTAGGTGCTTAAATATTTGTTGCATGAATGAGTGTTTGAAACTGGTGTAAATAAGGGAATATGGGAAGAGTCCAAAGACCATGAATTAAACGTGAGACTAATTACAGTAATGTTCAAAAGCTGTTGCCTATACCCAGTTTGCAAGCAAAACAACAATAATGCATACCATAAAATATGTCTTAAGTTATAAGCTTACTTGTAATTCCATAGCTAGGTTGTTTTCATAGATTCTGCTTTAAATGTATGGTTCCTATAGCATGATCACTGGATCATATTGTTAAAAATTAGAGAAAATATTAATGGTAGATGAATATTGTTTTCTGTCACTCTTTTTCTGGTGCCCCTCTCTTCTTCATCTGAAATAGTGATGGAGAAGGACATTTGTGTGATAACTTTGGTTACTATTTTTTTTTTTTTTTTTTAGTATTATGACCTGTGCTTCTGTCTCTCTGCCCATAATTTTCCTCCTTTCTTCCTGTCCCTTGCTCATCTCCACTTATTGAACTCCTACCATCCTTCAAGACTCAACAAGATACTACCTCATGATTAAAGCCTTCTCTGTCATTCCAATCAGAAACAATCTGTCTATCCCAGGATTTTCTCTCTTTGTTTTTAAAGTTCTTGTCATGTGCTACTTTTTAGTACACAGGTATAGCAGGATAGCACCTCAAGGTGATATAAATTCAAATCTTACTTTGCTTTTACTTAACTGTCATCATGGGTAGGCCACTGTACTCTCCAGGCCTTGGTTTCTACATCTATAAGATGAGGCTCTCACGCTCAGTGAAATGTGAATTGGGTTGCATTTAGGTTTGAGAAGTATTTGAACCCTTACAACTACATCTCAATATATAGTTCTTGTTCCTCTTCAGCCTTGTGCTCCCCTTTCTAGTTTACTTTCAGTTAAAAGTGCAAAGATTTGCCTGAGAGCTTGTCTGGAGGAGGTGTTCACTGTGGAGTCTGTTACTGTAAGCTGCCATAGATTGACATTTTTTGGGGAATAAAATACTTTGAAACTGCTAAACTTTTTCAGCAGTCTGCAGCTATTACAAAAATAGCTCTACCATGGTTCCTTTTTTAAAAGATACCTGTCAATATCTATACCTTTCAAGGAAGAAGGAGTTCTGTGCAGAAAATCAGCTGATGCCCAGGCCTTGGAAATAAGCATATGATAATGGACCCAAGTATGCAGGTCTGAGCTAAAGTAGCTCTTTACTTAGCTAGCAATGACTGTGATGTCCTTTCACATCACTGAGCAAGAGTCCATTCGATATGTGTTAGAAGATGGACTTCACTTACCACCCCAGTTCTGCTACTTGCTAACTCTGCATCAGCCTGTTTCTGCACCTGTAAAATGGGAATATAGTACAACTAGTATTACCGCCATGAAACTATGGAAAGAAATAAGTAAGTGATGCATATAAAGTTGTTTATAACAGTATGTGGCACTTGTTGCCTGTGATTTTCTTTTCTTTCTTCATCTTCTTGTTCACAGAAGACAATACGTAGAAGTTGCTTAGTTACCTTAAAACTTGTCTGTTTAGATATAATGTTTTGATTCTTAATAAACAATATAAAATAGACCTTAGGTAATGCTGCCCAGACGTTGCCAACCCTAAAGAATGAACTTAATGGCTCCTGGGTTCATCTACACAGTACTCTTAAGGTACCATCCAGAAACATAATCCCCTTGGTGCAATGATACCAGTTTTTGTTTATTCATTCATTCCTTTATCTGTGGTTCATTCTTTTTTATTATTATTTATTTTTTTATCTGTGGTTCTTGAGGACTTGCCCTGTGTGTGGCCTCATATGGGGTGCCAACCACAAGTTTGGGCACTCTCTGGGCCAATTCAATCTGATACATTCTCAGTAACTGAAGTCATCTCCAGAGAGGATCAGGAGATGATTTTGAC